TATATATATATATATATATATATATATATATATATATATATATATATATATATATATACACGTACAAAGAATGAAATATAAATTTCTTTTTCTTCTTTTTTTGCATTGATGTTAACTTCTATTTCAGTAAACTCCAATTAACAATAATATTACATCAATATTATAATTTTGCATTCGATAATATGACTGTTATGTACAACATGTGTTATCTTAGTGAGCAGAAGCTCTCGAATCGACGCATTAGCTATCTTTAAGATATCTTTAAGAGAGTTCTGTAAGAAATGCCTTGTAGACGTTGCTTAAAGAACTCTTAAATATATCTTAAATATTGTTAATGCATTAATTTGCGAGTTTTTACTCACTGGAATATTACATTTATATTATTGAGTGGGAAATTATAATAATGATGTAATGTTACTGTTAGTTAGTGCGGTAGCATTGATTCTAATTTCTCTAGATCTACGATAATCGAGACATACGACTCCATTTCCCTTACAAAAAAAATATTACTTGCTGTGATAAATTTACTAGTGGTAAATTGGCTGTAATAAATTGGCCAGTGATACTGGCCCCTCTGTATTGCTTTTCACTAGTTTTATCATCTATAATAATAATAAAATTACTGAGTAACAATGATATATCAGTGATCAATTTATTACAGCCAGCAATATTATTTTATAAGGTTTGTAAGAACGAAACATTATTACATACCCAACAAATATAGATATAATTGATATATAATATATATAATATAATATATACATAACATGGACGTATGTTACGTCTATATTATATAGCTGTTATATTCTGTTATATTCTGTGTTTACTGGGATATGGAGTGAGACACATTATCGTAAACTCAATGAAGAAATTAAAATATGCGACAATTAACTCACGATGATCTTTTCTCTTTTCTGCTTTTTTTTTCCGATCGGACGCATGGTTTAACCACAATTGTATAGCGTCTTCCAATTTTTTGATGTTAGCAGACGCGTGCGCCGATGCCACAGAATCTATAACAAACAGAATATTATTAATAAAACTGTTTTACTACGTAACTGAAAAAGTAATGTAGTAATTATGTCTGATTTTAGAAGATCAAGCATACTATCTAAAACTTTAAATTGATAAAATATTCATGTCGTAAATGTTGTATACTTTAATGTGACTTACCTACAATAAGTTTTGAAATCAACGAATCTTTAAATCTAATAGTGTTTCTTTGTCCGCTCCAAGAATACTTAATAGCTAATGTATTAGTCATTATTCGTCTCATTGCTCGTCTGACATGTTCTCCAATGTTTTTCCCACCTTCTCGTTTTATAACAGTTTTCTTAGAAGCAAAAACATGTTTCTTAGTTTTTATAAGGAAAAAATTTGATAAAAAATTACACACATGCGCACGCACACGCACACGCCCACACACACAAGTTGTTTGATGTAAATATGTTGCTCAGAATACTGTGAAAATGGTGCAAATCCCTGAATTGATCCCATTTCGTTATTAAAATTTATTCGTTTAAAATGTGCATAACTTTGTTAAAGAAAATTGCTAAAATTTCGATGAAAATAACTTTTTACTAAAAAATTGCTAAAATATCGATAAAGTTACTTTTTAATGAAATATTGAAATATGAAATGATACTGAAATGGGGTGAATGCAAAACTGTTTGAAACATATTTCAGCAAATTATCATAATATTTTCATTAAAATATTATCATCAAGGTTTACTAAAAAATTATGTGACTTTTTACTGAAAAAATATTGAAATAACGAGAAAAGTAATTTGTTACTGAAATTTTGATGAAATGAGAATGAAATGCGGTCAATTAAAAGAGATTTCAAATATATTTCAGCAAAGTTTCAGTACAATATTTTCATCAAAAGTGTCCAAAACTTTCATCAAGCGTTCATGTAAAGATAGAACGAATTATAATTAGCAGAAAAATCAGGTGGCATTTTACAAATTTTACATGATTTTACATGGCATCTTTTTTACTTCATGAGTAATTTTGTAATCAATGTGAGAAAATGTGCGGGAAGCACTGGGACAGATTATGAAGACGCATAAATATGGATTATATATTTATAGACTTTGTATAAGATATATGGCTTACGACTTAGAATTTTGTTACAATGAGAATCAGTTGCAACATGTAGTATTGGCACTTTGTATACCGCATTTCACGATCTGATAGTATTACGAGAAATAATATAGTGAATAACGTTCGGGAGTTGATTCCTATTGTTACTAGGAGATTCTAAGCAGTATGCCATTTGTTTTACTAACTCGATTTATGTATCTTTTTTTATGTATGTTTGCAAAGTCTGTCATCGCTTTCTATTCGCTCAAATTCTGTCATTTTCCTAGTATCAAATTGTTAACAGAAATATTGTACAACATTCTACTCTCCATAAGTTTAACATATATAGATAATACGTCAATAATACTTACAAACTGTTCTCGTTTTTCTTTTTCATTTACAAGTATGTTTTCAAATTCTTTCATTTCTTCAACACTTTCCATTTGTAAAAATTCATTCTTTGTTGGACTTATATTCACATTTTCATTTTTATATTGTATCTGTAAAGTGTGTATAAGCATATCTAATTTTCTATGCATCTTCCCTGAAATGTTATATCAAAACTTATATTACCTTCTCTTGCAAATAACAATTTATAGTAATGAAATATGTTAAAAATATCAAATGCGATTTTGCATTACTTTGTAACTGTATTAAACTTGCAATAAATACATATTTATACAAGAACAACAATTCGTACATCCTATTGTATCCGCTTCTTTGCGCATATTGTTTGTTGTATTTGTGATTGAGGAATATCTGTAAGTCAAGTCAATATTATCGAATTATTATTAATCATTTATAATTAAAACAGATAAGTTTTACATGCTTATTCTAAACATGAATTATTAGAAAGAATATAATTGTTTACGTAATTGCCATTCATTAATGTAAAAATGGATAAAGACGAGTGTTAAGTTATTAATTACTACATTATAAATTATTACATTATATATTAATATAGAAAATTATATGGTTTTTTATTTGCATTATAATTCCAGGATTTGCATTACAATGAATAATATATTTTAACATTCTATTATTATAAAAGAATCATTGGCAAAATATGTTTAGAATAGGTAGCTTAATTATATTATTAAATAAAAACTATATGTATGTGTGTGTGGGTGGGTGTATGTATAAAAGGTGTCCACAACTAGTGTTTCAATAACTTGTATGCAAGTAGAATGAGCATTAATTGATTTCTAGAGGCAGAGTAATGTAGCAAGCAACAAGCTATTTATCACAGTTGCGCGTCGAAATTAATAATGCCTCTCACTGTTAGTTGATAGCCATCGTTGTTACATTTTCTGAAGTAAGCTATTTGTCCCAGGTATATAGAGTTCGGTCTACTGTGCCGTGCTAAAGAAAAAAGTGGTTAACTATATTTGCTTTCAAAATGAGAAAATCGACGAAAACTGTTTGCTTAGAGATTCGTAATGGAAAAGTAAATCTCTATGAATACAAAAGCATTAATGGATATTGTGGTCTTTTTCACGTGTATTTTTTGACATATTGGACGCGTCATACAATTTTTTTGTCAATTACCCATATAGCACAAATCTCTAAAAGACTTCTTAAAGAATTCTAAAAGTGTTCTGGAGGACTTGGGAACTCTTTTGGAACTCTTTAAGTCTTTTAGAGATTTGTGCTATATGGATACGACTTCTTTTCTAGTTATTTTGTCATATTCGAAACTTTTACCTACAGTCGTTTTTATTTCAATAAATAATAATTTTTAGTTTTTTGCAATGCAATTTGACGTAGTTCTTTGTAACGAATCTATTAGTATAAAAAATCAATTTTTCCTCAAAATGTGACAACCACTCTTTTCCTTGACACGACAGTACTGTTTCCCGTGGGATCATCAACTTATAAGTATACTAATTCTTTATTAATTCCTCATGAATTATTGCAAATTGTGCAAAATGATGTATAATTTTTCCAACTAGTTTAACCCATTCTACTTGCGTACAACTCATTGAAAAAACATATATTCTGTATATAATATATCATATCTGCAGGAATATTCAGAGTATTTATATTATTTTCATCGTCCTTACTATTTGCACCTAAACAATCTAACGTCAGGAAAATATAATTATTATTTATGTTGTATACAATAGTTAATATACTTAAATTGTTTATTTCAATTGAGACATATGTATATATATAACAATATTATATTAATATATTGCAAAATAAATACTAAAGACTCTCAGATAACAGTTAATATGTGTAATTACAAAATATATTATTTTACATTTAAATATATCATATATAATTATTAAATTATATATCATATACTATAATGTACCATTTTCGATAATTTCTTAGTGTTCAACATATCTTAGTGTTTTATATAAAAATTTATATGGATTAATATAAATGATAAATAGTATATTTATATGAAATAATATGTGTACCTATGTTACTCATTTACATTTGAAAAATGCACTGATATATAATGAACGTAATATTTCAAAAGTTAAGTTTAAAAAATGAATACAAAATAATGAAAAACATACATATATATATACACACACAAACAACAAAGAGGAAAAAAGAAAACAATAAGTTTATCTCAGTAAGTTGGATGAATATTGGCGAAGTAATGTCTATAGGATCCACAAGAACATTTGTTTCTCTCTCGAATGCAATATCGGTATCTGCAAAGAGAATTAAGTGATATGTATCACAATATGATATGTATCACGTGCAAAACAGAAGTATGTTATCCATCCAAAATCTAAATTTGTTTTTTATGTACTTTGAGAGGAATTAAATTAGAAATCATTTTGATACCAAATTTATGCAACAAATTATTCTAATATACTTTACTTTTGTACAGCAGTTCTCGTAAACGAGTACGGTTCTTGTACAGGAATAGAGCAATTAATTTGTACAAAAATAGCAATTCCTTATTACATAAGTTGCATCGGATTGCGCTGAAATAACTATGCCATCAAAACAAACGTGCATATAACACACTTGGATCTGTTACTGAAACATCAACAATTATAAAGAGCTCTTCTATTTCTACATAATTAATAATAAAAGTGCAATTTCAGCTTATGGAAAATATATGTTCATATGATTCATATTCACATTTAGTTCATGAAATGTTTGTCAGTAAACAATGCAATATTTAAGGCTGTGACACACAGAAAAACTAAAGCAGTAAAATGTAAGCAGTAAGCAAATTTAACAACCAGTGAGTATATTCCTTTAGGATCATATGCGCCAGGAATTTAGTTCCTTCTAACATAAGGCCAAACTTAAGGTCAGTTCTATCATCTTTTGGAATACGTAACTCTAAAGAAAAATGCTCATCGCTTCGTCAATTTGCTTACTTCTTAAGTGTTATTGCTAATGTTTTGTTATATGCTCACAGTCTAAGAAACAGCTCATTTCGGAAGATAGAGTACAACCCCTAAAGTCTGTGTGACACTGTGGATTGGAGATGAAAGATTGCGCATTGAAGATTACATTTCGATGAATCAACGAACTTCAGCCTTGGCTTGAAGTGCTTCGTTCCAATTGGTCAAGTTCCAATCTTCAATTCTCAGTCTTCAATCCGTAGTGTGACACGGGCTTAACACCCTATACATTGCAGACGTGGATTGGATTCGGATTGCAAAGTGCGAACCGTTTATTAGGCAATTTTCGAGATATTGAAGCAAATTTACTGTTCAACGATTCACAGTTTTCAATCCGCGTCCGTAATGGCCTACTTTACATCGTTCGTTTTTTACATGTACGAAGTAGTAATTTTTTATTAAATTATATCAATGTTAACGATGTGTGTAAACGATGATATACGATACATTTTTGATGCGCATTATACCAGTCAGATACACCGTTGTTTACATACATCGAAATTAAAATAATTTATTACAAAGATATTACTTAATACGCATATTGAACGAACGATGTAACCTAGTTTTGCTGGTTTTCTGTATATACTTAGATTGTACTCGAATAAATCGTGTATATTATCAACATATACAAACATACCGTGTATATTATCAACATGTACAAACTCTGACATCGCTGGCAACGCTTGTAATGTAGACTTTACATATTTAGTCTTTTTTCTTGGTGGTATTTCATCTGTAAATAGAATAAAAGTAGAAATCATTATAAATTAAAGAATCATATTCAAACGATCACATTCCCAATACTACATAACGTTTCATGGACATGAAGGAAACACTTAGTGAGACATTGGTAAATATAATAAATGTGATGAATGTGAAGACTTACTAAGTATTTTCATAATGTATAATTAATTTTTTGTGCTCTGTAGTGTTACGGATAATGTTGTGTGTGCTATATCTATTATACAATTCAAAACATTTAAATGAAATTGTATGAAATGTGTATGTATATACCTAGAAAGCACGAGCTCTAACAATAACGCATAAGATAACCTTAAGATGTCTTTTAGTTATGTTTAGTTATATCTCTAAAAGATGTATCATAAAGATGACTGAAAGGTATCTTAAAGTCATTTGAAGCGTGGTCTACAATGAGAACTAAAGCCATAAAACTTAAAGCTTTAAGCTCTAAATAAGCTCTAAATCATTACCTTCAACTTCAGATGATCGGTCACTATCTGTGTCATACTTTGGATTTTTTTTTCGAATTCTCTTTTCTGGTATTTTGTATTGTTCGTACAACACTTCGTCTTGTGACGAGTACCCTGTACATTGTTTTTCAAAATTGATGCTGCTTTCATAACTGTCTATAAGAAAGTATAAAGAGGAATATATACAACAATTTATAAGAAATCATGACAGAATGTAGATATTATGTTAATAAAATTAAAAAATTATTTTATTAATATTAAACTTTTGCATCCTTACTCACCGAATGGTCCGAACAAACATGTATAATTGAGTTCTCTCCAATCTGGCTTGCACGGTACTTGTTTCTTTATCCATTTGGAGGTAACGGATTTCTTTTCATATGATCAACGAATAATTTTGTGACTTTTATCCACCCATATTTCTGGTACTGTTTGAAACCATGTGTCGGCATGAATAACATAAAACATCTGTAATTATTTTTTAATTGTACAATATTATTCTTATGGTTACATATTGACAATAAATAGATGGACATACAAATGTACAAAAGAATGAATATGTTGATAACTATATTAAATATATATATATATATATGTATATAGAAATGCACGATGTCATATTGATGTAATCAATTTGAAACTGTTTGACTAATATTATTATGCATTTTTACTCTCTTCTCATTATATAAGTATTTTACATACTTATACATCCCCTATAGGGATAGGTAAATATTTCACAATACAAAAAACATAGAAAATGTAAAATAATATGATAGCAAAAAGTCAAAGTATACTTTGGAAAAGTTTATTGACAAAAATGTATTGAAAAGTTTATTGAAAAGTTTATTAATACAGAACATTACATAATGCTTGTCCATAAAAAAAGTCAACATGTAAAAGAATGTATAAGTGGCAATACAACAGTAGAATTTTCTAATCTTATTTTTATACCTTTCCCTTTAATTCGATTAATTGTAATTCTTTCTAATAGCTCACTTTCACTTTTAATCAGATGTACACCTAATTTATTGAGCGGTAATGGATAAAAAGGTACATTGTAAACTGTGATATTATTTCCTATACAAAAGATTTTACCATTCAAAGTTATAATATGTTTTATATTATATATGCCGTTGTTTTTTAAGTAACATATATTTGTGGCGGTTCGGCGTCTCCCGGGGGTGCGTTCGTCGTTGCGCTGGGCGCAACAGCCGACACCTCGCGTCGGGAGACGGAAGCAGGTGCTGCAGCCGCGGCAACTGTTCTCGGCCGCGCCGCGAGAGTTCGCGTGTGCCGGGTTTTAAGGAAAGTGCTTGCGTGGCGCTTTTGTTTCAGTCCTTCTTCCGTTCTCGCGCCGTATTGTGTGCAGGTCGGAGTTCGTTCCGTCCGTTCCGTTGGCTTTGTTCTCTGTTCTCGGTCGACGTACGTGCCGTGCGCCGCTGTGTCTCTTGCGGTGCGCTCGACGTTACCCCGTGCTCGGGTACTGTGTGTGCGTGCGGGCGTTCGGTGCCTGGCCCAGCCAGCGAGGCTGAGAGGCCCTTGAGGGTCACCGCTCCGCGGCCGGCGATTCCGGTGTCCACGTGTTGCGCACGTGCTGCGCACGTGGCCGTCCGTTCAGCGTGCGCGTTACCGCGTACCCGCGTCGCCGCGTACCCGCGTCGAGCCCGCGTTACTGCGTACCCGCGTCGAACCCGCGTTACCGCGTACCCGCGTTACTGCGTACCCGCGTCGAACCCGCGTCGAACCCGCGTTACCGCGTACCCGCGTTACTTCGTACCCGCGTTACCTCGTACCCGCGTTACCGCGTACCCGCGTTACCGCGTACCCGCGTTACCGCGTACCCGCGTTACCGCGTACCCGCGTTACTCCGTACCCGCGTTGTGCCCGCGTTATATCGTACCCGCGTTCTGTCGTGCCGCGACCAGCCAAGCGAGGCCATCGCTCTCGCCTTCTTCGTCAGGCGCTGTCGTCCTGTGAGAGTGCGTGCGTTTCGCGGGTGTCGTTGAGGCTCGGGGCGCATCGTGCCGCCCATGAGCCCGGTCGCCGCAGGTGCATATGCCGTTATCATTCTCGAGTTCAAGTTCTGCCAGCCACGTGTACAGGCCAGGCTACCTGCCCTCGCTCACGTGCGCGCTCGCTCGGCTGTTCACGTGATCGGCTGATGGCAGACGTCTCAGCCAATCACAAACGTTTCTCCACGCTGTGTCCTTAACACGTCAGCGTGACTTTGTTTATTTGCGCAACCGTTTCCGTTGTATGTGTAAGAGTCCGTTTTCTTTGTTAACGCGTAATAAACTTTGACGATGTGTCGTGCTGAAGTGGGAGCTAGTGTGTGTTACTGTGACCCGAGCTTTCTCCTGTCCACGGAGCTGTATTCCGATTTCTCTTAAATTATTGTGGCAGCCAAACGACTAGAGGCTATCCCCACAAAGTGGTGACCCCGACGTGATATCGGAGCTCTGTGCTCAGGGGCGAGTGACGGTCACAAGGCTTCCTCTTCTGCTTTCCGAGCGAGAAGTGTTTGGGCGATTTCGCGTTCAGTGTCGTTCGTTCATTTGCTCCCGGTGCCCTGTTGGGCACAGTGCGTTTGTGTGAGGGGAATGTTGCACTCCCCTGTGCGGTCAGTGAGTGATGATGTGCTGTCAATGTCGCGTATAGGCGTGCCGTCAGCGGATCTCTCCCTCCGTCAGGGAGACGACTGCCCTGAGACAGTGAGCGCGCGTGAAGCTGCGGCTGTCGAGGCAGTCAGTTCGTGTCGGTTGCGGCCGTTCTGGAGGGCCAAGCCAGACCTTTGGTTTGTGCAGGCTGAAGCGACTCTGCAGCTCGGCCGTGTCCGCGGGGACGAGACGCGTTATAATCTCGTCCTCAGCATGTTGGACCCAGACACGCTGTCAGACATCGAGGACATCATTCGTTCGCCGCCAGATAACGAGAAGTACCGTACGCTGAAGGGCGCAATCCTGACGCGTTTAACTGATTCAGCTGATCGACAGCTGCTCAAGCTATTTACCCAGTTGGAGCTGGGTGACAGGCGCCCGTCGCAACTTCTGCGCCACATGCGTGGCCTATCGGCCAATCGAGTTCCGGACGACGTTCTCAAGGTCAAGTGGCTTGACCTGTTGCCGGTGAGTGCTCAGCGCCTCCTTCGCATTCTCAAGACTCCCAGCTTGGAGGAGCTTGCAACCATGGCGGATGAGATCGTCGAAGCTTCGCCTGAGGTGGCTGCTACCTCACCTTCTTCTTTGGTTCTGGAGAGTGCTTCCTCGGCCGTGGCTGCCTCGCGCCACCCGAGTCGGTCAGACAGCGTCGACCGGTTTGACAGGCTCACCTCGGAGCTCGCTTCTATGCGAGTCTCTATGGCTCAAGTTGTGAGCCTCAATCGCGAGATCCTTTCTCGACTCGAGGGCTTGGACACAGAGCCAAGACCCACAGACACTGTAGTGCGCGGTCACAGTGAAGTGCCGACTCGCCGTTCGCGCTCGCGATTACGCGTGCTTTCGTCGGGACCTTCCGCCGGTGTGTGCGAGTATCACAGGCGTTGGGGTGCGGAGGCAATCCGTTGCCGTGCCCCCTGCTCGTTCCGTAAAGGTCAGGGAAACTGACCGCGCCGGCTCAGGTGCAGGTTTCTGAGTCCGGCAATTACCTCCTGAAGGAGAACCGCCTGCATGTGTTCGACCGAGTAACTAACTTAAAGTTTTTAGTTGACTCGGAATCTGTGGTCTCCTTGCTGCCGAGGTCTGCAGTAAAGGAACAGCTGAGAAAGCGGAAGCTGACGCTCCAGGCCGCGAATGCCTCTGACATCGCCACCTACGGGCAATGTACGTTGACCTTGAACCTCGCCTTGCGGAGGCCCCTCATGTGGACCTTCACGGTGGCTGATGTCCGCACGGCCATCCTGGGAGCGGACTTCCTCAGCCACTTCGGACTCGTTGTTGATATACGTCGACGTAGGATCATTGACGCTGAGACGACTGTATCTGCTACTGGTGTGTGCCACCGACCGGGAATACACTCGGTATCACTAAGCCGGCTCCCTCAGGTGGGGGACAGCTCATTTCGTCAGGACTATGAGGCTCTCCTGAGGGAATACATAGACCTGGCGGCGCCCTCAGGTGTGGCGGCTATCTTGGAGAGCTCACCAGTCAAACACGAGATCCATACCACCGGGCCGCCGGTTCACGACCGCCCTCGGCGCCTTGCGGGGGCCCGTCTGGTTGCTGCCAAGCGTGAGTTCGATTCGCTCCTGGACCGGGGCATCATCCGCCCGTCGGCCAGTCAATGGGCCAGCCCTCTGCATCTCGTAGCAAAGCCAAATGGTGGTTGGCGCGCTACAGGGGATTACAGGCGTCTCAACTCGGTCACAGTGCCTGATCGGTACCCTCTGCCGCTCATTGAAGATCTACTCCAGGACTGCCATGGATGCAAGGTGTTCTCGTCGATCGATCTGCAGAGAGCCTTCCACCAAATCCCAGTGGCCACGGCGGATATCCCAAAGACAGCGATCACCACGCCGTTCGGGCTGTTCGAATTTGTGGGGACTCCTCTCGGGCTTCGTAACTCAGCGCAGACGTTCCAGCGCTTCATCAACACGCTGCTCCGTAGACTACCATTTGTAAGGCTATACTTGGACGACCTGCTGGTGGCTTCTGCTTCACACGCAGAGCATATACAACACCTCCGCCAGCTCTTCTCGACGCTGCGTCAGGCTCGGCTGGCAATCAATGCCGAGAAGTCCGTCATCGGCGCATCAGAGGTCAATCACCTTGGTTATCTAATTTCCAAGGAGGGCTATCAGCCACCAAAACGTAAGGTCGAAGCTATTTCATCCTATCCCAAGCCAACCAACGTTCAGCAGTTGCGCAGGTACTTGGGTGTGGTGAATTATTATCGGCGCTGCATCAAGGAAGCGGCTCAGCTCCAGGCGCCCCTGAATGATCTGCTTAAGGGTCAGCCGAAGAAATCAAGTAGGCCCCTTAAGTGGACGCCTGAGGCGTTGCAGGCGTTTGAGAACTCCAGGGCCAGCATCCAGTCGGCAGTGACTGCTACCTTCCTCGCAAAGGACGCGCCTCTGGCTCTCGTTACCGATGCCTCAAACACGGCGATCGGGGCGGCCCTGGAGCAGTTCCAGGATGGTGCATGGCGGCCACTTGGGTTCTTCTCCAGGAAGCTGAGCTCGGCAGAGCAGCGCTATAGCACCTATGATCGGGAGCTTCTAGCGATATTCGCTGCTATCAAGTTTTTCCAGCGCATCCTCGAGGGTCGCACCTTTAAGGTGAGGACAAATCACCGACCTCTTACCTTTGCCGCCAAGCAGAGGGCAGACAAGGCATCGCCTCGAGTTCAGCGACAGCTCGACTTCATCTTACAGTTTAACATGTCCATCGAGGCCGTCAAAGGTGCGGACAATCAAGTGGAGGACGCGTTGTCCAGGGTGGAGACGATCAACGTGCCAACCCTGCTGGACGCTTCGGCGATCAACCTGGCTCAAGCGGAGGACGAAGAGCTTCCTCATCTCGTGGAAGTGCCAGGCCGAGAGTTACACCGCCTTGAGATTCAGGGGAAGGAGATCTACTGTGACATCTCCACAGGAGTCGTACGCCCTTATGTTCCGGCCTCCCTCCGTAGGATGGCGTTCGGCGTTATCCACGGGGCATCGCACCCCAGCGGTCGTTCGACAGCGCATCTGCTGTCGCAAAAGTACTTCTGGCCAGGTGTTCGCAAGGATGCAACCCGCTGGTCACGCGAGTGCGAGCCGTGCCAACGCTCTAAGGTCCATCGCCATAATTGGACGACTCTCAATCATTTCATAGAGCCGGACAATCGCTTCGACCATATTCATGTCGACATCATCAGGTTACCCCTGGTGAGGAATCACCAGTACTGTCTTACGGTCATAGACCGTTTCTCCAGGTGGCCCCTGGCGGTGCCTCTAACCGACATGAGAGCGGACACTGTAGCTCGAGCCCTGGTGGACAATTGGATCTGCCAGTACGGAGCACCACTCCGCATCACTTCGGAGCAGGGCACTCAGTTCGAGTCGGCCCTCTTCGCTTCTCTGGCACAGCTTTTCAGCATGACGCACGTTCACACGGCACCGTATCATCCTCAGTCTAACAGGCTCGTGGAGCGCCTCCATAGGACGCTCAAGACTGCCCTCATGTGTGGCGAACCAACACCTTGGCTGGACTTGTTGCCCTCGGTATTGCTTGGTCTTCGCACTACCTTCAAGGAGGATCTCCAGGCTTCCCCAGCGGAGATGCTGTACGGTGCCTCGCTGCGCGTTCCTGGCGAATTTTTTGTGCACACCAGCATTCCTGCTGATGGCACAATGTTTGCCGAGAAACTTCGCTCTATGTTTCAGGCAATCAAACTGGTGCCCGCATCCAGACATGCACAGCAGCACCCTTTTGTATTCAAGGATCTGGCCTCCTGTTCACATGTTTTCAGGAGGGTCGAGACGGTCCGTCGGCCGCTGCAGCAGCCATATACCGGACCTCATAAAGTCGTCCGCAGAGTTTCGGAAAAGCTGTATGTCATCCTCGTCGATGGGGCAGAGAAGTCTGTATCCACAGATGCTCTCAAGCCCGCCTACCTCGAGGCAGCGGACCTGCCTGCAGCACGGCCTTCCAGCTCATCGCAGCCTTCCAGCTCATCGCAGCCTTCCAGCTCATCGCAGCCTTCCAGCTCATCGCAGCCTTCCAGTTCATCGCAGCCTACCAGCTCATCGCAGCCTACCAGCTCATCACGGCCAACCAGCTCATCGCTGCCTGCCAGTTCATCGCTGCTTCGCGACCCGCCGCAGCCTGCGCCACCGTTGAAGTTTAAAAGGGTATCGTTCGCCTCGCCCCCAGGCGAGGTCACTGGGGGAGGAGTACCTGTGGCGGCTCGGCGTCTCCCGGGGGTGCGTTCGTCGTTGCGCTGGGCGCAACAGCCGACACCTCGCGTCGGGAGACGGAAGCAGGTGCTGCAGCCGCGGCAACTGTTCTCGGCCGCGCCGCGAGAGTTCGCGTGTGCCGGGTTTTAAGGAAAGTGCTTGCGTGGCGCTTTTGTTTCAGTCCTTCTTCCGTT